TACGCAACTCGTAACGCCGCCGCAGTGGTCACAGTTTTAGCTGCTGGGCCGGCTGTTTGACTTTGTGTTTTATCTTTCGAAACCTCAGTGCATTAAAACCTGAATACTTGTTCTCAAATGTTCTGAGAAAACAAGGCTGTTTCCACTTTCCGGAAGCTAAGAAAATGAAATTCAAAGGAATTGGAAGCATTAACTGATTAGCGATGCACATAAGTGAGAGACAGTCAAAGCATTCGAGAAAAAAAAAACAGGGGAGTAGACAGACAGAGACACGGTCACTGCCAGCACAGATAACTCTGCAACATAGAGGTAGGTTTTAATGAAAGAAAAGGTTAGTCAGGGATAGGCAAAATACGGCGGTAAAAAAGTTGGAGAAAATGTTTTTGCTCGCGTGAGCTATAGGTGGTTATTTGCCACCGTCTCATTTCTGTCGAACAAATAATTTATCATCACAGCATCAAAAACATAGTCAACATGAGGAAAAAACAAACATGCTTCTAGGTAGCACCTTAGCATGGTGTTTGCCCATCGATATGGATGACGACCGAAAGCGTCATGACGTCTGCTCTCATTTGTATACACCTCAACGACATAAAACTAGCTGTAAGAGCGTAAGGCACGTAGAATTCTCGCTCCCACTCATCTGCGCGAATGTGCCCCAGATCATTGAAAAAGCGAACCTGTGAAAGCGCTTGCGAGGAGGGAAAGGTAAAAAAAAAAACAGGGGGATAGCCGGTGCTTAGATATGCTGGCTACTGTGTCAAAGAAAAAGAGTTGAAAATCAAAAACAATAGAAGGAAATACAAAGAAAAACGAAGAGAGAAAAAAGTGTGCATGCTACAAATGATGTTTAGTGCACAATACTCCTCAAGGCCTGTCCGACAACAGATACCCTACCGACAACAGATACCACTTCATCCGTCAATGTTCGTCAGAAGAAAACCACTTTTCACACATAAATCGTTGTTAGCTTTTTAGAGAGAAGTTCGTACTTTTCATATCATATACCCGGGCATTTCGTAGCACGACCTCTCCAGAGAGGTCTCCGCTGCGGTGGCTACACTCAACAAATCACTTGCCTCACAGCCCTCTGACGCAAGGGTGTGAACTATCGAGGCACTTGTGCTAATGCTATACATCTCCACCATGGGTTTTATCATTACAAATTTTAATCATCAATTAACACCTCACAATTTTCATGGGATGGTTATGATTTTATTACTTTTATGTTTTTACCCACCTTAGGGCGAAGAATTTTAAGGCCCTTATACAGCCGCTAATCACAATCATTATCCACATCTCTTGTCTCATGAACTGACGCTCTTGGCCCTCAAATGGCCCTTGCGCCACAAAGCACCAAACATCATCATCACCAAGGCCTGTCTCTAAGGCCCTATCTATTCTCAAGCCGCACTACCTCCCGGTACCTGGCAGAAGGTCTTGGTCGTTCGCCCTTCTCACTGAAACAGCCAGTGCGAGAGAAGTGGGAAGCCATCAGCCATGTTCGGTGTGCTCATGCGGCTCGAGGGTACACATGGCCCAACCCTTGTGGGGTCTCGAAATGGAGAGCGCCACGCTCTTGGAGTGAACGGACAGAGTAGACGCGGTCGGAACGAACCAAACAACACACATTTATTTTACTATATACATTTAGAATGATAATATTGTCAGCTCAAATAATATGCATCAATTGTGACCAACACGCTAGAATAAGTTTACACAATATTACAAAACACTCAGCAACAGAAACACACACACAAGGCGGCTTCGCTAACGCCTGACTCAAAACGCGGGCCAACTGCAGACGGCCCGTGGAGCCACCCACCGCAGACCCACCGTTAGGGACAACCGTTCGCACCAACCGCCACCTGCCAAAGAGACCCGCTCATCCCCCGCAGGTGTCTGCGCAAGCAGGCGTTTGGTGTGTAGCGACACCACGGACCCCCACGCTTAGCCGAGCGTGGCTGAGCCGTTTCCGGGGAAAAGGGGATCTAAGGATTGAGCCGACGCCGGGTGATGAGACCTTTAGGGCCTCCCACCGCCCCCCCCCCCCAGAGGCAACACAACTCTTTGGCCCTGGCTTCACGTAGACGGCACCCCTGGGCTGACCCACTCAGGAAAAACCGGCAGTCGCCTTTTTCTATTTCTTTCTCTCCCCACAGCTTCGTCTTTCTCTCAATTTTAATCTTTCCTGTCCTCTCTTCTCTTCAATTACGTCTAACCTTTCTGGCGGCAAAGGTTAACCTGGTGTACAGTGTCGAACCTTGGGTATGCTATATCGGGTTATAGTAGCTTCGTACAACTGGCGTCTGTGATGCCTGCGGGTCTCCGCAGCGTCCCCGTGTTGGGCTCGATGGTGAGAGGCTGGCCTCGCTACCGAAAGAAATAGTTTTTATTGTTTCAACCTCTTTTCCACATCTTCCCAATTGCCCTATTTTTAAAAGAGAGCGCATCAATGTAAACTTACAGTTTCGTGCAAAGAACACTGAAAATTTGCCGCATTTCCACATCATGCGCACCGAATGTCCCGACATAACAGCAAGATCAGTGTCACCTTTTTTAGTCTCAAAGTGTTTTACAGACACTTTTGGACCTGATTACAAAGGCACAACAATGGCCAGTGAAGACATTCTTCTAAAAGTTAAGCACAAGGCCCAATATGTCAAGTTAAACTTTTTAACACCTTCTGGCACTACTCCTATATTTATAATAGCCCACCATTCCTTGAAAACAGTCCGTGGTGTGATATCCGACAGTGGCCTCCTAAATCTCAGAGAGGCTGAACTTCTTGATGGATTAAAATATCAGAATGTCATCCAAGTGCGAAAAATCGAAATTAGGCGCAATGACCATGAAGTACCAACAAAGCACCTAATCCTCACCTTTAATACTGCCACTCCCAGAACATATCCAGGCAGGCTACATAAAGATGCGCGTCCGACCATATATACGTAACCCTGGCAGATGCTTCAAGTGTCAGAAGTTTGGCCACAGCTCACAGAGCTGCTGTGGCCGCGTGTCTTGTGCAAAATGTGGGTCTCAAAAAAATATGAAGTCGAGAAGTGCACCTTTGATCCACACTGTTCTAACTGTGATGGATATCACCTGGTTGCTCTCGCTCTTGCCCTGCGTGTAACAGAGAGAAGGAGATTACAACACTAAAGGTCTACGAAAACATCTCATACAAAGAAGCACGAAACAGACTTTCATTGGTCATTGGCACAGCGGTACACGAGCAACCTGTACCCCCCGCAGCATCATCCACTCCTACTGCGGAAGCAGTCCGCGCTGCTCCGCCGCCAACAAGCATGCATGCCTCTGGGTCTTCAGTTTCCGGGCCATCTGCCAAGGCAGAGAGCCCTAAGTCTCTCACACCCACACGCTGACACCACGAGCGGGCGTCCAGCGTTTCTGCCGAGACGATGGACAACGAAAAGTCTATCGGCGTCTCAGACGTCGAAAGATCGGCGTGACTCTAAGAAGCTTGCCAAAAAGGAAAAAAAAAAACACGTATTAGGGGGCCTAAAACAGCCTTCTAAAGTAAGGTTGTCTACTTCGACGCACAGCACAAAAACTCACTCAAACTGATGGCTACACAAATAATGCACTGAAACGCTAGGGGTCTTCTCCACAATCTCGATGACGATACAGAACTTTTACATGAGCACAATCCCAAGGTGCTGTGCATCCAAGAGACACATCTGAAGCCATCACGCACAAACTGTCTGTGACAATATGCTATGTCTCGCAAGGTCCGGGATGAGGCAACTGTTTCGTCCGGTGGTGTAGGTATAATAGCAGAACACTTTGTGCCTTGCCAACCTCCTAAAGCTGGTGCACACCGGCGACTAGCAGCGGTCACGCGTCCATTCGCGACTGGCGAACAAAAAGCGACTGATTTTCACATCGGCAGCAGCTGCATGCGAGCGACGGGAAGTCGCAAAACTGGAGAGTCACGTCAGGATCTCGTTATCAGCGAGAACTCTGGAGAACGGTGCCGATCAGCTGATCGCCGACAGCTGAGTTAGCGGAGCAAACGAGCGCGTTGCATTTATTGTTTTTGTCTGTTCTCGCACAGCATTCCCAACAGCGTCAAAAAGTTCTATTCAGGCGAAGAACAAGAGAATGTCATCGGGCTGGTGCGCTGTTCCATGGTGTCAGCGCTGGCAGCACAAATGCTTCCAAAAAAAAAAAAAAAAAGCCGGTGGTGAGTGTGACCGTCCCTTCGATCGCGAGAGTTGGCCGGCCATGCAAGAGGCCTACCTCCCGAGCTGAGCTGAAACAACGAGTGGTATTTCCGAGAGTCATACGTATTCAGA